GAACAACCATAAAACTCCTAGAAGAAAGCATTGGCAGTGGGTCCTCGACATAGGTCTCGGTGATGAATTTCTGAATCTGACACCAAAAGCAAAAGCAGCAGAAAGAAAAATTAACAAGTAGGACTATATCAAACTCAACAGCATTTACACAGGAAAGGATACCAGCCACAAAATGAAAAGGCAACCTGCTGAATGTCAGAAACATTTGCATATCATTACATCTGAGAGTCATTATATATTAAGGGGCACATATTCAAAACATAAAGAACTAATATAACTCAATAACAAAAAACCCAATCTGATTTAAAAATGGGCAGAAGAACAGTCATTTTTCCAAAGACATATAGGTGGCCACAGGTACAAGAAAAGATGCTCACCATCATTAATCATCAGGGAAATGCAAATCAAACCATAATGAAATATTACCTCACACCTGTTAGAATGGCTATTAGAAAAAAAAAGACAACAACAGGTGTTGGCAGGGATATGGAGAAAAGGGAACCCTTGCATACAGTTGGTGGGAATGTAAATTGGCATAGCCACTATGGAAAACAGTATGGAGGTGCCTCAAAAAATTAAAACAAATTTGTCATATGATCCAGCAGTTCACTTCTGGGTATTTATCCTAAGAAAATAAAAACACTAACTGGAAAAAACATATGCATCCCAGTGTTCACTGCAGCATTATTTATATTAGTCAGAATATGGAAACAACCCAAGTGTCCAATTATAGATAAATGGAAAAAGAGAATGTGCTACACATACTAGTGTACACACACATACACTGGATATTATTCAGCCATAAAAAATGAAATCTTGCCATTTGCAATAACATGGATGGACCTTGAGGGCATTGTGCTAAGTGAAATAAGTCAGACAGAGAAAGACTAATAGCATTTGATCTCCCTTATCTGTGGACTCTAAAGCTAAAAAATACCCTCCAAAAAACACCTTTAAAAAAATTCATAGATACAGAGGACAGCTTTGAGGAAAAAAAACCCAAACTTTCCTGAAACCTACTTAAGGCTTTGTGATTTGGGCAATTACATAAAATCCAGTTATAAATGCTCAAATTATACTTAAAGTGGGATTGTGATCCGTGTCCTATCCTTTATAGTTTTTCCTGGGTTGTGATAATTACAGAAATGGCAAGATTTTGTCACCTGTTGAGTCTCTCAGGGGATTTTTTGCCACCAATAATTTTGAAAAGTTTGGACCAATTTGCCTTTGCCATTGTGTGTGCTTTATGTAGTATGTGCACTAAAGTGCTGGACATTCATGTTGGTGCTACATCCATTGCTGTGTAAGAGACAGTGCTGAGATAGCTTCTATTTAATGTAGGGACAGATTGTTACATATGAATTAGTACCTCTTATTAAAGTATGGGTTCATGAAATCAGAGAGGAAACCTTCTTTTAACACCAAGAGCAACAAGATCAATAAAAGGTACTCTTGTGTGTAGTGGTTTATGGCTAGAGTAATCCCTTTAGCTTAAGAAATGTGGGCTTTACGTTTGCATGCATGTAAGTATAACCAATGGACACAGACAGTAGGGGAGCGAGAGCATGTGCTGGGGGGTGGGAGCAGCCTGAGAAAGATCAATGGCGGGTGGGGGGAGGAGACATATATAATACTTTAAACAATAAAGAATTAAATTTAAAAAAGAAATAAAGAAAAAATAAATGTGGGCTTTATTTCATAACGAAGATTTCCTTTGTATGTTGGACTGCCTCTAAAAATTCATTTGTTTCTTCTTCATATGGGGGTGTCTCAGGAACATAGAAAGTCTCTTTGTTTTCACATCATGCCTGTAGTGGGACAGGGAACATGATGCCGGCCTGCATCCTCCTTCAGGACTGAAGGATCTAATCTAACCCCTCAGCTGGCAGCTCTTCCTAGAAACGGCTCTCCCAGGCTGTTTTGCGTAAGGTCATGCCGTCTTCTGAGGTTCAGTCTATCTCCACTCACAGCCTGATTCAGAATAAAAATGCCCACCTCTCTCCCTGCACTGAGAAACCATTCTGAAAGGCCACCTACCTTCAGAGCTCTCCAGAGGGTTGCATGAGGGCTTGGCTGAGACTGCACCACTGCCCCCCCCCCCCCCATCCTCTGCCCAATTCTGCTTCCTTACCCTTCCCTTCAGAAGTGTGGAACCCAAGTGTGCACCCTAATAAATGTTCCATACACACTATGAGATGCTGCTTCTGGGGAATCCAACAAAGCTTCAATCATGAGCCATTTCTAAGGCATATTATCAGCAAAGATGATAACTTAAAACTTTAAACAAGGTAGCTTCTGTAAACAGAATGCCCGGCATTAAAAAAGAAAGATTAAATAAGTTAATATGTGTAGAGTGTTCACATCAGTGCCTCTAAGTCATTACCTCTATGTGTGTTTTCTCTTGTTCTGATTAATGACACGTATTCTAGATCTTAAATGGACATTTAGGGAAGGTGATTCTATTTGGATCTCTGGAGATTGTTGATATTTTATTCCTTGACAATGACAGAAGATGGCGCTAGACGTTTGGCATTTATGCTTTTGTTCTCAATGCCAACTCTTCCCATTTCAGGGAAGGGATTTTAGCAATTCCATCCACAACTGGTTAATCTACAACCAGCTGTGCTGAAAAAATGTGGAGTTTACTACAGCAGCCAGGTTTTGCTTTGTCTCTCTGTATTCTCCTCAAAATGGCCTCTTAGTGGGGAGTTCTTGGCAGGGAGCATTATGTTCTAGAATCCCTGGGGAGTTCTCAAGTTGATGAAAAAATCTATGTATGTATAGTCAATGGATGAAAGGCAGTCAGCTGCTTCTAGTCACTTAGCTTCACAATACTGGCAACACTCCTGTGACCAGGTACTTGTTACAAGAGGTTGTGTGCACCCAAGTTAGGGGTAGATGACAAATACAAATAACCACATAATGAAGGAACAGTTGGAAGGAGTATTTAGGGGATTGTGTCATATTTTCTCAGCACAATCCCCATGTGGATTTCTAGAAATTTATGTCAAATTTGTAAACAAAAACGACACAGGTGCAGGATATTTCTGAAAACAGCGAATGCAGGCTGACACGAGTTTGACTGAATAACAGGACTATCAGGAGCACACCTCAGTACAAGTATTTAGGGACAGAGAAAGCATTATTTTAACAAGCACACAGCAGGCTAAGGGCTGTCTATAATCTCCCAATGTAATCCCCAGAAACTTCTATGGGGGAGATAATAGATGCAGACTGTAACTCCGTCAATTTCAGATAAATTATAAAGTTCCTGTTAAGATTAAAAATCTAAACTGGCAAATAATCCATTTTCCTTTTATTTAGGAAACCTGCCCCTACTCTGTTTTGTGTTTAATGGTTTGGTACTTAATTCATTTACTGCATCCTAGTTAAGTCTCTTTTGTCCTGAGGTCATTATTTCCTTAGTAAGCTATCAACGTTTTCATGCAAATATCTCAGGTTTGATTGATGAACTATTAGTCCTTTAATTTTATGGACAATATTTGCTCCAAGTTTGAAAATATAAAGTAATTACCCTAGTGGAAGTGGCTCTATATCCTCTATACTCTGTTTCAGAGTATGAAGAGGGGCAGAGTTAACACACATACCCACGTCTATAATTCTTCATTTCAGAAAATCTCATTACAACTAAAGTTTACTCTACCTGGCAAAAAGGCTGTATTCCCTGCTGGTAGCAGCCCTGACTTTTGGGCTTCCCTGTGGGGTTGGCTGGTTTCAAATCACTCACTGTAATGTAGTATTTTTCACTTTCAAAATCACACAAAGAACTATGGACTCCTCTGTGAACCTTTTCAGGATACTTTCCAGATTCTCTCCCTTAAATGAAGTGTACTGGCTGCAGACAGATAGGGAAGAGCAGAGCTGAGCAGTGGCTGCCTCATTACTTGGGCGTGTCCTCTCTGTCTGCCCACAGCCCTTTTCTGTCCATGTAGAATCACCATTTACTTAACAGGCTTGTACAGTAAGTCCTCAAATAACATCATCACATTCAACATTGTTTCATCATAACTTAACTCTTGTTTACATCAATTAGCCTATGGTTTCCTCATGATTGTTTCACTTAGAGTTGCAGAATCTATCAATGACAAGTGAGGATTTACTGTACATATGTAGGTCTGTGATCCCTGAATTCCTCAGATTAGTACTGAAAGCCCCACTATCCAGCTCCATTCTACTTTTCTAAATTTCTCTCTTGTCACACCCTCTGAAATATTCAACCCTTAGGCTGAAGCCATGACAAATCATTCCCTCATTGCCAAATACAACACATATTTTCCATTGCTATACTTTTACCACAGTACTCACTTAAGGCCTAATCTACTTGTCTTTGTAATTTTCAGAAGTACTTTGTGATATAATTTTCAAAGAAAAGACATATTCTGTATAACATGTATTATATCATCAGGGCAGGATTTTAGAATCAAAGAATAGAGAGGACTTATATTTTTTTTAAGAACTATCACACACCAGACACTATTCTAGATGTTTCCACTCAATAGCCACAACAACGCTGACACATAACTATCAACTGCAATTTATGGGCACACTAATGAAGCCCAGAAAGGTTCATTGTATGGCTAACAATTGGTTGAGCAGGAATTTAAATCTCGAGAGTATATTTCTTCTGCAAACCCCTCTACCTTTTAATGATTATAAAACTCTCTAAATCACATCTATCAGACTAATTATGTAAAGAGATGACTGCTTACCATCAAACACAGTATTTCACCAAGCATTGCCAGGAAAGAGCAAATACACACTTCGGATCACATTTTATTTTGTATCTTTCTTCTACTCTAAGTCACTTTATTGACCTTATATCTTAGTCCATTCACACTTAACATCTTCCACCTACTTTCCATTAGAGTGATGAAGGCAGGTATATATTCCACAGGGAAGAGAGAAGTGGGTAATTCTCTGAAAAAGGCTTTCAACATCACTGCCGCTTCTCTATGGCACATTTTGTCCCACTTAAATTTGTCAGTATTAAACTTGGCATCCAGTTCTTCACGGTATTGCTGAAAATCAAGGAAAACAGTCAATATTTAATGAGCTTTTACCACCTGATGCCCTCCACCCCACTTTGAAAGCTGTTCACACACAAACTATTAAAAAGCCTAACTTTTCCCAAAATGATTAAAGAACTAAAATAGTCATTTCTGAATTAATTTTTTAAATATATTTTATTGATTTTTTACAGAGAGGAAGGGAGAGGGACAGAGAGTTAGAAACATCGATGAGAGAGAAACATCAATCAGCTGCCTCCTGCACATCCCCTACTGGGGATGTGCCCGCAACCAAGGTACATGCCCTTGACTGGAATCGAACCTGGGACCCTTCAGTCCGCAGGCCGACGCTCTAATCCACTGAGCCAAATCGGTTAGGGCCCTGAATTAATTTTTTAAAATGGTTTTCTAGAATCTTTCTGAACAATGTTAATCTTGAAATCATTTGCTAATTCTACACAAATATAAGAATTTTTTCCTCAGGTCATAATTTCATTTATGTGGTTTTGGCAGAATGCCACCTATCCCTACATAGGTTATATTGTTAGATTTTGACAAAGAGTCCATTTCTTTTCTATCCTGGTCATCTAGAATTTCTAAATTAGATCATGAATGTATGCCTCCCAGCTAATTCACATCCAGAATAAAGAAACGCTGATCTCATTCAACCTACAAACCAATGACATCTTCCTGGAGCAGTTATGGCAAAGTTTTAAGCCAAGACATACACATGTCTCCCACATGTGTGCATGCTTGTCCAATCCTTCAGAAGGTTTGGAACATTGTGCAAATACTTTAAGAAACAAAACACTAAGCCTCCTTAAGTTCTACTTGGGTGATACATTTTACATTATCGATTCACTTGATCAGTGCCACCAATTCTTCATGTTTCTTTTTCAAAGTCAAACTCACTTTCTACTGCTTCCTTCAACTACAGATGTTCCTATTCATAGCAGATAGTTAAGTCTATTCCCTGGTTGACCCTAACAGTTCCAAAAAGGATGCTTACAATGTAACTTTGAAAACTCTCAATTTCTTTCAGATCCCCGCTTTATTCCTATGAGAAGCCTAATCCTTCCGGTCTTAGACATGCATAGCCTGAGTCGGTTTTTAAATCAGACTTTTTCCTCCCAAGGAGCAGCTCATTAACCACCCCAGAAATAAACGCCCTCATGGCTCCCAGAGCCTGCAAAACATGGGTGCCCTGGCAGGACACGTCTTTAATAGACACAGACATGATTTCAAGCCACCTTTTGATGACATCGAGAGACTTTTCTTATTTTCCTTGAAAAGCTCTCAATATATAGCTAATAAATAAACCTCTGCTGATAAATTCACTTAGTAAAGCACTGAAGCATACATACAAAACTCTTGCCGAATAAAAGAGAGTGTAGACTGGGACCTAAGAAAAGGAGGATGCATGAGGTAGATTCTTTGCCTTTAGGCATCTTGTAGTTCAGTGGATACAACTATTTCATATACACATAATGCTAACTTAGGGTGTTAAATACTCTAAGAAAGGTCATGTATTGAATGCTATGAATTCATGAAAGAATCACTCTGCTAGAGCAAAGTCATGAAGGCTAGTAAGGAGCTTGCCAGAACAGGAAATAGAAGGGTGTCATGGACAGAAGGAACTGCTCAAGTAGTGATACAAATCCAAGGAGGGCCAGGGGTTTGGGGAACTCCAATTAGCTCAGTGTTGCTGGTGCATCACAGGCAAGGAGGTGAATAAAGAGAAAGATGAGGCTGAGGAATAGACCAGAGGTGACTAGACTTCATTCTGTAGGCAATGAGGCAACATGGACCATCTCCAAGAGAAGGACATGGTAACATTTACCTTTTCTTACAGCCCGATGCAAAAGTGATTTGGAGGAATGTGGTGCTTGGCACTAGTTAAAGAGCAGGCTAAACCTGGCCGACACTAAGTGGTTAGAGTGTCAGCCCACAGACTGAAGGGTCTCGGGTTCAATTCCTGGTCAAGGGTATGTACCTTGGTTGTGGGTTCATTCCCTGGCTCTGGTTGGGGGTTGTACAGAAGGCAACCAATTGATGGTCTTTCTCCCATCTCTCTCCCTTTTTCTCTCTTCCCTCCCTCCCTTCTGCTCTCTTTAAAAATGAATTAAACTATCATTGTTGAGGATTAACAAAAAGAAGAGCAGGCTAGAGGCAAGGAAATCAGTTATTGGAAAATTGATGAATATGTGGAGATTAAATAATGTGCTATTGAAAAACCAATGAATCAAAACAGAAATCAAAAGAAAAATAAAAAAAATACCTTGAGGCAAACAAAAATGTTATATTTCTAACCTACCAAACTTTGTAAGATGCAACAAAAGCAGTTTTAGGAGGGAAGTTCATAGTGATTAAATGCTTACCGCATAAAACAAACAAAAAAATCTCAAATAAACAACCTAACTTTACACTTCAAGTAACTAAAGAAAGGAAAACAAATAAAGCCCAAAGTTATCAGAAGGAAGTTAATAGTGAAGATTAGAACAGAAATAAATTAAAATAGAGATTAAAAAGACAATAGAGAAGATCAATGAAACTAAAAACTTTTTATTTGTAAAGATACACAAAATTGAGAAGACTTTACCTAGAATTACCAAGAAAAAAAGGGAGAACTCAAATAAAATCAGAATTGAAATAGGAGAAGTTATAACTGATACCACAGAAATACAAAGGATCATAAAGTACTACTATGAACAATTACATGCCATCAAACTGTACGACCTAGAAGAAATAAATTCTTAGAAACATACAATATACCAATTCTGAATCATGATGAAATAGAAAATATGAACAGATAATTACTAGTAAATATAGGAGAAGAAAAATGTTTTCATCCATTGTTTGGAACCACTGCTGTAAAGCAAAGGGGAAATGGTGTTCAAGTGGGCAGGAGGCACCAGCGAGGGCACCAGCTACATACCTCTGCCATAGGCAGCCATCTGAACACTAATGTGGCCATCATTCTAACAGTGATCCCTGTCACCTAAAAAGCAATATGGCTCTAGCGTCAAGAGCAGGCTCTATAACCAGATTCTTTAGGTTTTTATCGAATTCCACAACTAACTAGTTGTATGGCTTGTGCCTAACTAGTTCCCACTGTTTCACAGGGATACTGAAGTGCCTCAAAGAGATGAAATCAGATGATATAATGGAAAGCTCAGGAGGCAGGGCCTGTCACTCAGTAAGTGCTCAATAAATGCCAGCTGCTAGCTATGTCCCTTCCTCTTTGTTATAACCCTTAGTGTTGTCACCAAGGGAAACACATGCATATGTGGTTGTGGATATTTGGGTAATAATATCACTTCATTTTGTCTGCTGGCCAGTGTCAAACAAAAGAGAGAAAGAAAGAATGCCCTCTGTTGGATTGAGGCAGAGCCAACAGAGGAGTATAGGAGCAGCGCTGGTATTTCTGTGGTCCTAAATGTGAAACCATAGAAGTCAGGTGTTGAATCGACCTTGCCAAAGGCAGGGAGCATTTAGAGGTTAGAGAATCATGTTTTCTGTCCAATGTTAATGAGAACACCACGCCAGGGTTAGAACCACGTCCTTAAATCTCTGGCAAATAGACAACCTGCTTCCACTTCTGAGATAGTAAAACAGCGCAAAGAACCTGCCTTCAGCTTCAAAAACCAGTGCAGGAAGGGAAACCAGCAGGCCAGGTACTGATTATGAAACATTTAGAGGAGCCCCAGAATAATTCAGAAAAGAAAACCTCACATATCAAACAGTTTTCCTTCTTCCCCAGTGCTTGACTCAAATGTCTGTCATTTGTAGCGGGGTGAGGAGGGGATTACTGAAAACACCAAAGTATTAAATTGGCTCCAAATGATCTGAGGCCTTAAATGCAGGAATGGACTCCGCAGCTGTGGGCCTGAGTGGGTAACACCAGCAGCTCCCTTCGGCACCACCTTCCTGTCGGCCTCACCAGGCCTCAAAAGCACAAGACTGGGCCTGACTGTAACCGAGACATCAGTGTTAGTGTCATCCTCTCGGCACAGTGAGGAGAAAACTATAATGTAGTTTTTTGAAATGGTCTTCCCTCAAGCACATTCCTAGAAAAAAATAGTTTAACAGATGAAATTACCAAAAAAAATAATTTAAAGTTTGAAAGAGGAGAGAAATAAAGACCCCTTTACTATATCAAGTTGCAAGGCTTTTCTAACTGCATATTCCCTGTTTTTGTTCACTGGCCCAGATTTTTTTCACATTGGCTTTTCTGGAACTCAAACAATGGAAACATCTGGATTCCATTTTTTGGACTAATAAGTGGTGGAATAAGTAGGCTGAAAACGACATAAAACTGATTAGGGGAGAAAAGGGACTTCTACCCAATGTGATTCAGAGATGCATGTGCCTATGAGACACTTTCAAGGAATTAATAAGCCAATGATAAGCATTTTCTAATCAAAGATTAGCCAAATAGCCTGGCCAGCATGGCTCAGTGGTTGAGCGTCAATCTCTGAATCAGGAAGTCATGGTTGGATTCCAGGTCAGGGCACATGCCGAGGTTGCAAGCTCAATCCCCAGTGTGGGGCATACAGGAGGCAGCCAATCAACGATTCTCTCTCATCATTGATGTTTCTATCTCTCCCTCTCCCTTCCTCTCTGAAATAAATAAAAATATATATTTTAAAAAGATTGGCCAAATATAACCAAAGATTTAACCAAAAGTAGTGATAGCCTTCATCCTCGGCCTGAGGATATGTTTGCTCAGCAGTATATAACCACCATACCTATGAGAACCTGAGATGAAAGCAGATTCAATTTAGAAAGTATATACCTGAAGGAGCCACTAGGGATTTCCCTGCCTTTCACACGAACTTGTGCCAGTATTTAGGAATCTCTACTGGCAGGGAAGTCACAACTCCCCCAAATGCCCTTCTCCCTTCTGCCACTGACAAAGTATGGTGCCCTTCTCAGATGTCCCTTCAGAAAAGAACTTGCTGATCATCTGCAAAAATCCAGGTAGTTGACTACCCAGCTGTTAGGACTTTCTGGTCTGCCCAGCCCCTTCTCCATAGAAAGCCCTAGCCGTGATTGACTGTGGTGTCAGGGCTAGGGCCTGGCCCATCTGCTCAGTGCAGGGCTGATTCATGGGACAGGAGGAACTGTCAGACCTGAACTGTGGTCTGAGGCTCAGCCTGCCCAATCCTGCCTCCATCCCCTTTTCTTACAGAAGCGCTACCCCCAATAACGCTCTTCTCCTCACTTCATCCCAGCATCTGCTTTCTGGAGCTTCCAACAGACACAGCCTATTTTCTAGTTTCCACTTAGAAAAACATCTTCTCAGATTTCTATATAAAAGCTCGGAGACTTCTGATAATGAAGAGATGCTTTTCTGCCTTTATGCATTTCCTTTTAATAGTTCTAAACAGAATCGGGTTCACTTGTCCCTCTCCCTGGACATTTTCCTGAGGGACTCATCATTTAAACTGCGCATGTTTCTATGTCCACCAGCCAGAGAGTGGTCCGCGGGCAGGAAGGAATTCTTCATTGTGTATGCCCACCAGTAGATAAAGTGGCATATCCTCCTGCAAATTTATGAAAAAAAGCTTTTCTTTTCTAATGATTCTTTTCTTTACTGAATGGGAGAGTTTGCACCATACAGAAGTAAGAAAGCAAAGTAAAGGACTCACATTGCATGGGTGCTTTTATTTTTTATTTACTTATAATTTTTTATTGATTTCAGAGAGGCAAGGAGAGGGAGAGAGAGACAGAAACATCAATGATGAGAGAGAATCACTGATCAGCTATCTCCTGCAGGTATCACACTGGGGACAGAGCCTGCAAAACCTGGGCATGCGCCCAGACCGGGAATCAAACCATGACCTCCTTGTTCATAGGTCGACGCTCACCTACTGAGCCACACCGGCTTGGCACAAGTGTGTTTTTATATGTAGAAATTAACATTACTTTAAGTGGAACTGGGCTTTAGAACTACTGAGTATTGTAGTGGTTATGGTCATTCCTACAAATTCTTATAAGGACTTTCATTAAAAAGAGAGCCAAAAAATATTTCTCAATCTAAAGCAACTGGTAATGGAAATAAGGACTCATATAATAATTGGCTTAATGAATTCCATGAGTGAGAGGGACACAGCAAATTAAAGCGTTTAACACCAAAAACAGTGATGGGACATTTCAACTTTCCAAACTGAAGACAAACAGCAGTGCTGATGGTGAACTGATGTGTCATTTCACTGTTGTTGGTTTTTAATTGTTGTTTTAATTTAAAAGAATACACAACTTAGGACTATAAACAACATCTAATCATAAGTAAGGAGGAAAACTCGGTAAGGCCAAGTGATAGTATCAAAACAACAAAGGACTTGATACCTGATGCTTGTGTGACCTGGGTCTAGCTAGCTTAGATCTCTAACTAGGAAGAGAAAAATAATGTTTGTTACCTTGACTTTGGCAGTGCATCCTGAAAGTCGAAAAATTCCTTCAGATTCCAAACCCGATTCCTCAACCTTCTCAAAAAACTAGAAAACAATGATACATTACAAAAATAAATACCTCCAATATGACTGCAAACATCTGAAAGAACACTGTTGATGACAACAAATGATAAATTACCAAGCATACATATGTGCCTGGTACTTGAATCCCTTGTTAAGTTTTCACAATCACCCTATGAGGTCAACGTTAGCCTCTGATTTGCAAATGAGGAAATGGAGACTTAGAGCTGTTATATCTTTCCCAAGATTAACCATCAAATGGCACTGACACTCTCAACTTGTGCTCTGCACCACTAAAATATGCTGCCACTTCACTATTTTAAGGTCTGATTACTACACCTCTTTCTGCAGATTGGCCAGTAAGAAAATAGTCTAAATTCACTATCATTAGTTACAACCACTCTGGCTAAGGAATTATAGGGACTCTAGAAATACAACCAAGGAGGGAGAAATTATAAAGGGTTATAGTTCCCATGATCTCCCATGGTGATGGTGTTAAAATCAGTATCATTATCATAACTATTAACAGTGAGTGTGTACTTCTTGTGTGTTAGATGCCATTCTCAGTACTTTACATCTATCACCTCATTTAAATCCTCACAATAAGGCTGGGGGTGAATGGTATGGTAGGGATGAATACTTGCCCAACTTCACACAAGAGTCTCTTGCTATTTTTCCTTTAAGACATAATGCCTGGAACTAAGGTAGCTCTTACTTGTAGTGGAGAGAAACAGACGTTTAAACGGAAGAAACACATCCACAAGAAAAGGCTTTCCCATAGAAGTGGAAAGGTAATACCTCAAATTGTCTTAAATGAGGAACACTTCACACCAGTAGGAATAATAGCTGACATTTGTTGAATTGCTAATACAATATAAATCTGGACTTAGTTTAACTAGCATTTATTGTTCACCATCCATTTGCTATGTCCTGTGCTAGGTTTCTGCACTTACACAATAATATAAGTTCATGTACTGAATATTCTCAGTCTTAGATTTTTATGCATTTTTCTTAAAACTCTGTCGTGTACAGAGAGGACAAAGACATAATTCTGGTTCTAATTCAAGAAGAAAAGAAAAATCTTAGAGTCACCATGGACCGTGGCCTTGGATATATACTGAACGCCTTTTCCCATCTACCTCTTGCTAGCTTGTGTTCATGGTTAAATCACCCTGCCCTACTATTGCCTCAGTTGCTTTATCAGTAGAAGGGACACGATGACACCAACCTCCTCTGGCTGTTCAGTGCTGAGGAGATGTGACCAGATATGGAAGGCACTGGCACAGCCCCGTGCAGGAGAGGCACCTTACAGATGGCCCCATGCACACCGGCATGTTGCTGGCATCCTCTGCCATCCTCCCTGCTCCCCCTGGCAGCTAATAATCACCTAACTTTAATTTAGTGGTAACAAAATTTAGAAAGATAGTAAGAGATGGAGAGTTATTACTGTGAATAATGCAAACGTATGTTTCCTCAATCAATATTTTCACATATCATTTCTAGTAAAACCTCAATTTAAAATTCAATAAGACTTATGTTTAGGGCTTGGAATTTTAATTATGCCACTGGATGTCACTGTTAAATAAATGCATACTTAGGTAAACTGGTGTAAATTGTTGGGTATAAAAAAAATGACTTAAAAGCAAATGTGCCATTCACCAATGATAGGGAGATATTAGCATATGATAGTTCAAATCATATCACTTCTAAAACTTTCCAAATCAAATTCCTTTTTGTCTAATTGTATCAAATCTTCCCAGTCATACCTAAAAAACTATCATAACAAGCTGATTTTTAGATTTTATTAAGCTTTGTTTGGAAAATGCATCTAAATGATTACAAATTATATTTTGAAATGCCCAACCTATGATACAGTTCAGCAAATACTTGTATGATCAGTAAATAGATTGCTGATAATTGTCATATTTTATCTCAGACAGAATAATCAAATACACATAAAGACATGCATACACACAAATAATATTCTTTTAAAATACTGAATAAACCAGATATAACCAAAGTAAGCCATGCGACAGAGCATCTGTGTCCACCACCTCATGCTTTATGCTCAACAGGCTCCAGAAGTTCACCGCAAGGCAAACTGGTCCAAGTACTTGTGGGACAACAGGGGCTTCATGGAAGGAAGCTGAAAATGGGCTGGGCCTGAGTCCTAACAGGGCTTAGCTTTAGTGTCCTTAACTCTAAAGGGAAATCCATTAGCAGGTTTACAAATAGCAAACAACAAGCATGAGGCTCTATCAATCCCCATTCCTCTATATTCTACTCACTTTTTGTAACACAAGGGGCACTTTCACTCCAGGGTCCTTCTTTCGGTCACTCTCCAGCAGGACTGTAAGTGGAACTCCAAAAATCCCATTGTCTTCATTGGAAAATAGTTACAAAAGAAGAAAGAATCAGAAAAACACTATCTTATTCCAAAGTGCCAAAGCGTTAAAATCAGAAGAAATCAGTTTTCTTAATTACCTCTTCCTTTTACTTTCTCTGTTTTGTTTCTCTTCAGTGGAATTCCAAAGGCATCAAAAAAGGCTGTCAATTCAATCAGAGAGAGGTGGCGGATTTTCTTCATGTCTTCAGCAGACAGATCTCCTGCTTCAGTTAAGCCAAATCTGGTTTTCTGAACAATAAATTTCTAAAATATATATTAAGGATATTATTTTTTATTGCAAAGAAAAATTACTATGCTTTCACTCAAATGCTACCTGGGCATTCTAAATATATATGCTAGTTGCAAAAAAAAAAAATCTCTGAGGAGCATGCTGCATTATAAAAAGATGATGAATGTAATTTTCAGAACATCTGCAGGTTACTACTATGCTAAATGTGAAGCCAAACAGTGGTCTGAAAATACTACAACATCGTCATCCCAACCGTAAAAACTGCCTTCTTCTAAGGACCCTCCTAGATGGTCAACAGCAAACACCCCAGGCATCGCATGGAATGTACACACCATGGGCACATCTGAGACAGGTATACAGCCACATCATCTAGGTACTCTCCGGAGAGCTTTCAATATATTTTTTATTTTGAACTATCAGTGCTTAAATCAGGCATCATCTGTTCTCTTCTGCATAGTTTAAAATACTGAAATTTCCAAATTGAAACTGATCGCATATGCTGCTGAAAGAGTAGTTATTTTACCTTCAAAATAAAATTTAGGTGATTCCAAATAGTCTTAAAAGAGAAAAACGCAAAGAAAGTGCCAAATAATCCTACTATCACTTTGAAGACAATATTACTGTTAAATTCTCTATTTCCATATTAGAAAGAAAAATATACTAAAACTTTTCTCTCAGAAAACCTAGTATTGGGGAAAAAAGTTAAAGTAGAAAAATACCATAGTTATTTAAATTACAAAGCTTTAGGTACACAGTCTTCATAGGGATTCCTTAAATTAGAGCTTCCTTGGGGTTTTAAATCCATCCAATTCATTCATTCATTCATTCATTCATTCAATCACCAATTATTCATTGGAAACACCCCAGGCATCGCATGGAATGTACACACCATGGGCACATCTGAGACAGGTATACAGCCACATCATCTAGGTACTCTCCGGAGAGCTTTCAATATATTTTTTATTTTGAACTATCAGTGCTTAAATCAGGCATCATCTGTTCTCTTCTGCATAGTTTAAAATACTGAAATTTCCAAATTGAAACTGATCGCATATGCTGCTGAAAGAGTAGTTATTTTACCTTCAAAATAAAATTTAGGTGATTCCAAATAGTCTTAAAAGAGAAAAACGCAAAGAAAGTGCCAAATAATCCTACTATCACTTTGAAGACAATATTACTGTTAAATTCTCTATTTCCATATTAGAAAGAAAAATATACTAAAACAAAAAACCCTTCAACAATCCAGAAATATTGTAAAGACTATGAGACCTTTACAAAGCAAAAGACTGTTCTTATTAATATATAAGTATTGCTATAAATATTATATATAAAT